ATATTCATATATATATATTTAATAAATATAATTTATTAACAAAGGGTTGTTTTTTTAAGTGATAATTTTTAGTACTATAATTGATGCTCATACTAATTTTGATTTGTTATAAAAAAATGATCATAACAAATTACACTTTGAGATAATCAGAGAAAAAAAAATAATTGGTTTATAAATAAAGGAAAGGATTCATTCCATAATAATAATTCGTTTATCAATACAGATTTGTTTATAATGATGATGATCTTAAATTTTCAAAAGTTAATCCGAAAGTTTAATTTAAATTAAAAAGAACAAAAAGCTCGTGAAAAAATATTATCAGCGGAATACTTTATTTGTTTGTGATTTTGTACTTAATTAGGTAAATAGTGAAATTGAAAATTTGATTGAAACACAAAAGTATTACGAATATTCCATGTTTTGAAACTACGAATTCCAAGGTTTGTAATTTCCAATTCTTAAATAATCATTCGAATTGTAACCAAATATAATGTCAATATTAGTTTATTCTGATGATTATCACTTAATTTAATAAAATTCTTTAAAATTCTAATGAAATTAAAGAATTCGCTATTCATCTTTTTAATAAAATCCAAAATCACGCACAATTATTCGAGAGGTGACCATTAACTTTTTTAAAAATTTATAATAATAAAGTCGGTTTAAATTATAAACCCGGGTATAATAAGATATAGATTTTTAGAAAACTAATTACATAATTTATTTTATCAAAAATCAAGATAATAAACATCATTAAAAGACTTTATTTAATAAATATCTTTCAATAAATACATATTTAAAATTAAAATTCTTGTAAAATTAATAAAATTGTAATGATTTAACTTTTTTGTAAACCAATTAAATAAACTTTTAAGTAGTATACCATCATATAATATTATATAGTGGTATACTACTTAGGGCAGATTATAGTATCACTATAATCTTATTACTACTATATAATATGATTAACACTCTATAATCTGATTACTACATTATAATCTTATTATCACTATATAATTTATTTATCATTCTATAATCTAATGTCAATAATCTGATTACTACTCTATAATCTAATAGATATAGTTTAAATATTATCCCTTTTCTTTTTATCAATTATCTTTTTTATATTTTGGCTATTTTTTTAAACCTTTCCTATTATTCATGAATAAACTACTATCTAGTTATGAGTATCACTTTAAAATCTAATTACTACCTACTATTAAGTCTAATTATTACTATTTTCTTCTTATTTTTAAGTTATTTGATTATTAAGTTCTTTGGTAAAGGTATAAGCCTTCTACATCAGCTTAGTTATTAGGTAAGATATAATATATAGATTGCTCTTTTTTGCTAGCTTAATTATCAAATGATATTGCAGATGTGGTATAATAGTTGTCTTTTTGCATTAGTTTGATTATTAGGTGAGATATTAAGGATCAGTTTATCAAAAAAATTCTATATTAAGATTTATGTTAAAGTAGCTAAAGGATGACATCTGAAGGTGAAGGTTTTTTTCAATATTTATATATAGATTATAGAGAATCTTTCATATTTTATATGTTTATATCTCAAATTATAAAGATCATTTATTAGGAGAAGGTTAGAAATATCATTATTATATAGAGAAAAGGAAGGTCTATATATGATGATATTACATAAATCTATTTAAGAAAATCTATCATGTTATAAAATTTACTGCATTTACTGTATAATACTACATATAGTATCTCCTAAAATAAGTATCTCCCTTAATTAATATAAGAATACTATTTAATTATAAATACTGATCTTTTTAAAATGTATTTCAATACTAATTAAAAATATTTTCGATTATATTACTTATAAATTTTTATAATTTTATTTACTTAATAATTTAATTAAAAAATATTAAATTATAACTTTTAAAATATAAATGTTTGATTATATAAAAATTCTATTTATTAAATATTTATAAAAAGAAAAATTTTTTAAAATCACTAATTATCCTATACATTAGCATCATTCATTTTTTGTTTATTATAAAAACTATCAATATTCTTATTAATATTTTCTTTTTAATCTTTATTTTCTATTTTTATTCTAAATTATCTAATTAACTTGATTATTTAGGATGATTATAATCAAAAATTAATTTATCTTTTATTTCATCATATTTATTAGAAATATTACAATATTTAAAAAATCGTCAAATTAAATTAACATCAATAGCATTTCATGAATTATTAACCTAATTTACTACAGTTTTATAAAAAGATTTTTTAATATTATTAGTAAGTATTATTCTTTTAAAAAATTAGCTATTGAATTATTATAATAATTTTTCATCTATAAAATAAGATAGTAAAATAAAAATAATTATTAAATTAATTTTTAAAAATTAATATATATTAAGTTTCCTACTTTTGTTTTAATAATTTATATATTAAAATATTTAAAGATTATAAATAAAATGTTAATTCTTAAAAATAACAGTAAGATTGATATTTTTTTCACTAAAATACCTTTTTATAGAATTAACAAAATATCAAAAAATGAATCTAAAACTAATAATAATTGTAAATTAAAAGTCTTGTACACTTAATTCAAATATTTTCAATCTAATCAAGTATCTTATTTTTATTTATCTATCTAGTGAAATTGATTTAAACTATAATTTTTTGTGAAAAATTACTTCACAGAAATTTTTTAAGTTTGAAAATTACAAGAGAAAAAAGTTTGATTCCATTAGCCATATAAGTTAAAACTATTATAAAATTAGTTTTTTCATATTTTATTGTATGAATATTAATAAATTACGTTCTTATTTTATTAATAGAATATTATTTAACAAATCAAATATCATTAGAATTTTATCTATATTACTAATTAATATTAAAGGATAATCATGCTAAATATATTTATATATAATAAATGCTAAAAATTCCTGCTACTTTTCAATTAAATCTTTTAGTAAACATTATGCAATAATAGTATAATGACAATTACTTAGATTATTATAACTTATTAAATTATATACCCACTTATTACTAAAAGTAAAAATTTGAATATTAGGATATGTGATTTGACATTAATTTTATTATGCAAATGCTTTGTCTTTTAACTGTATCATATTTTATGAAACTATTTGTTAATTATTTTTTCTCTCTTTTATTTATTTAATTAAAACAGTTTTTAAAGTAAGTTATTTTAGAGATGAACCTTTATTTAAATATTTTAAACCTAATTGAATCTTTAAAAGTTATAGTTTTTAGATATTTAGTCTTAAAGTTACTTTATTTTAATACTAAATTTAGTTACAGTCTTATTTTTACTATAGCCATTTTTATGATATAAAATAACTGTTATTTTTTCATATGCATTTTATTGTCTTTATACTTTTTCTATTATATTTGAATGATTTATTTTTTATTTTTATGTGAACTCATTAAAAAAAAGCTTAAAATAATAAATTTAAGTATAAGTTATAAAAAGTTGAAAAATAAGATGCAAAAAAATAATAAATAAAAAAATCACATATTTTATTTAACAAAAAAATTAATAATGATCATTTAATCATTTAAATTGTAAATTATTAAAATATAAAAAATGTATTTTTAAATAGTATTAATATTAGTTTTTATTAACTTTAATAATAATATTATTTAATATTAAAAATAGAATAAATCTAATTGTAACATCATGTTATATATATTATTTATAATACTTACAATTTTATCCAATCAAAATTTAAGATCAAGTATAATGTTAATAATTTAGCAAATTAAAACAAAAGATCAGTTGAGTAATGAAAATAAGAATTTTTTTAAAAATTTTTAAAAAACTATTTATAACTGAAAATTTTATCTATAAAACTATCTTTAATACATTAAGTAAAAGTTTTCTAAGTTAAATCTTGCATTTAAAATCTTATTTATAAAATATTTAAAATAATTTATTATTAAAAAAAATAAAAAGAGTATTATAAATAAAATATGTAATAGTTTTTTGAATACTTAAATAAAATATTAAAAATCATTTTTTTTTATTTTTTGTGGATTTTTTTGATTTACTAAATTGTATAACCAATTTCTGTACTTTTTTTGATTTAGTTGTGCAATAATTATCATAAGATAAATTTTTTAATTTATTCATTATTTCATTCTCTATTTCTTTATTCTTTTGATTTATGTAATATGTATTTTTTTGGATAACAGTACACAAAATTTTACAATAGATAATATAAGTAAAGCTAATTATAGTAAAAGTATTAAATATAATACTGATAATACAGTAAATGTGCCTTTTGGCTGTATAGTATATTAATATATCAACAATGTATCTATGCTTAAAGCTTATCATTTGAAACATTAGAATAGACAGAAAACTTCATAGTTAGTAAAAGAAGGATATATAAAAATTGAATGTGCTTCAAATACTATTAATTTTTTAAAGTAAAAAACTAAACAAGAAGTCATAAAATCAATGAACAGAATTGATGATATGGTAGTTTTAACTATAAAGGGATAAGAATTATTACAAAATATTCAGCTTGGATTAAAAAGGGATCGATCATGCTAGTATTAGATAATGTATTACTCTGGAGTAAAGATAGTGTTATAACTAGTTGCAATTATGTGATATTTATTTGTTATATAATTGTAACTAGTTGTGATATTAATAAAATTAAGTTGCAACTAGTTGTAACTCTGTGATAAATAAGTATTACATAGTTGTAACTAGTTGTAATACCATCTTTACTTTGAAGATGAAAATAATTGTCAGCGAATATGTGATAGTATAGAAGAATGCATATCAGATTATCAAAATAAAAAGTATAAAAGAAACTTAAAAAATGTGCATAATATGTATTTATGCCAAGTTAGAGTTGTTTTAGAATGTCAAATTTTATGGTTAAATTCGCCTACTCCTCTAAAAATTTCAATTCAAAGCTCTTATCTTCTACACAATTCTACTGTTAATCAATTACCATAGGTTACACATATTAATTTAAATTTAGAAACATGAGATATGATTCTAAAAGTCACTGTGCAAATCATAATACTGCAAAAGAAGTAAAAATGAAAATACTTGTTTCATTGAATGAAGCCTTAGAAAAAACAATTAGAGTAGCTCTTAACAACAAACAAAAAATATGTTCTAATGAAAAGCTTAGAAAGTTAATTGCAAGAGATGATCATCATTTAAAGATAATACAAAACCTTGGACAATTTTACATAATATAGTTGAAAAAATACTAAAATCAAATGGATTTATATTATATTATCAAGTAACAAATCCATATGAATCTGAAAATTCTCTTAATAGATATTATCAATTAACAGTATCTGATGAATTTTAGTTGCGTAATGGAAGAGATTTTGGTAAAATTTGTATTGAATTAGATGGTAAATATAATTTAAATATAGATTATGTAACTGTATTGTCAATCATTATTAAAAATAATGCTAGTTGTAGAACATCACTCACATTTGATATGAATATTTTTACTAGTATGAATTTTTTTTTAGTGTAAATTTTATTTTTTTTATTTATTTTTTTTATTGATGTAAATTTTATTATATTTTAATTATTTTAAATATTATATTATATTGATTTTTTAAGCTTTAAGTAATAAAGAAAATCATATAACTATACGTATGATTATTTTAGCAGTAAAATAAAATATTCTATGTGATAACGATAATTATGAACATAACTGGTATTATGAAAATTTGAATAATGGAAAAGGCTTTAAAAGAATTTGTTCATGTTTACAAAATAATTTATGGAATCTGTATATAATGATAGATAAACATAGACCTTTAAAACTTGAAATAGAAGGCTTAACATGTAGAGCTATTTTGTGTTAGTTTCATATAATGTAAATATTAGGTAACCATCTTAAAGAATAGCAGATTCTTTAATAATTTAGGTAATTTTAATTTAATTTTTTATTTTTTAAATTTAATAATAATTTAAAAAAATTATTTTATTAGATATTCTATTGCAATAGCTTTTAAAATTATTAGATAATGTTGATTAGATGATTTTTCATATAAAATGTTTTTGCTTTTTTGTGATTTTATACAAACTTTACCTATTAAAAATTATAAGAAAGATTTGATAATTAATAATATAAAAAATAATTAGATATATGACGAATAGAAGTTGAAGTTTATTGATAATAGAAGAATTTTATAAGATTATTCAAATAATTTAATCTTTGAATAATTAACAACTACACAGAAAAAATCTATCGTACAATTAAATCTATTTACTCAGGAAAATAAACTGTTGTAAGTTTTCTTAAAAGATTATATGAAATAAAAATATCACAAAATAATTTAACAGAAAATAGTGGGTCAAATAACTTTGAAACTGGACTTGTAACATTATTTAATGCATAATCAATTAAACAAGTAATTATACATATATTTATTATAAGTTGTAATTTTATTTATTTAATATTTTTTAAAAATTTTTTTAACAAACTTTGTCAATTATTTTAACATTCGATTAATAAAAAAAGATTAAATAAAGGAAGACTTTATTTTTTATTAAATATGGTTGACCCTATAAACCATAATAATTATTATTACATTAAATGATCAAAGAATTCTGATATATTTATTTTAGCTTATGATGATCAGATAGTAGAATTTACTGAAAAAATGATAAATAAGCTTTCTCTAATGATAAATAAGTTAGCAGAAAAAGTAATTCAAAAAGCTGATAAAATACAGGCTAATTATTATATTATAAATATAATTACAGGAGAATGTCCATTATATTTAGATTATATTTGAAATGAACCTTTACGTAATATTTGTAAACATGTACATGCAGCTTGTATATAATAGTTACTTAAAATCACAAAATCATGGTGAGTTTATTAAAGATATAACATGTAAATTAATTACTTATTTTAAAATAACCAACACGTTTTACTGAAATCTATAAAAAATTTATTGATTTATAATGGAAATACTTTAGAAGCATATCAGAAAATAATCTGATTATATAATTTACAAGGCATGTATAAAAAAAATTACATTTATATAATATTATATATATAACTTAATTTTATAATTCATATTTAGGAAATTTAATTTTTAATTCTATTAAATGATCTACTTTAAATTATATAAATGATCCTTTCTGACCAGATGATTTAAATAATAATACATCAAGTAATTATGATGATTTATCAAAACCTTTAGCTAAACTAAGAAAAAAAAATCTACTGCAAATACAATTATCAAATATACCATTAAATCTACCATCAAATTTACCATAAAATCCATCATCTAATTCATTATCATTTTCTGTACAAAGAAGATAAACTAAAAGAACAAGACAAAATTTATGAAAAAATAATGTATTAGATAAAAATCTATTGATAATTTAATATTAATTAATTTATATTTAATAATTAATTATTTTAAATTTATTATTGCTAGAATTTTAATAACAAAGAAAATATACAACAATCAAGTACAATTTTTAATAATATCTAATTTATTTTATCAAGTCCGAAAAAACTTAAACTTATATAATATAATAAAGTTGAATTTGATGAATTAAAACCTCTAAAAGATGAATCAAATGTTAATCAAAGTAAGTATTATATTTAAATAACTTATGAATTTAATATGAATTTATTTAATTATTCATAGTAAAAGAAACCTATTCCTTTTGTGATAAAATTTTACCTGATCTAATGTCTAATCAGATGAAATTAGCATTAGATAAAATAAATGATAAGCAAGATATTTGAACTATTATATATCAAACAATTAATATTTCAAATTTTATTAATAATTATTATTTAATATTTTATAGAAAATATTTCAAAATCAAATTGGATAAATTTTTGCTACATTCACTTTGCAAAGCTATCAATCATTTCAAGTGGTATCACAAATAAATACCCTTTTATAATCAATTTTGACGAATTACCTTATCAAATTCATAAGTTCAAAGGTGATCTTATGGAAATCATTAATGGTAATACTTATAGTTATTATCTTAATTTTATGAAACAAATATACTAAAAAGTTAGAAATAAGAAGGCTATAATACCAATGATGTTAATGAATTGATTTCAAAGTTTAAGAGTAATTTATTTTTTTATTATTATTTTAAATCAAATTTTATAACATATTAATTAAACTTATAAATTTGTCTGAATATTATGAGATTAAAAGAGCTATTTTAATCACAAATATCTTAATTGATTTATTTTTAACTATACATATTCTTATATCTGTAAATTCTTTTCCATTATAATTGATTAATTATATTCAGAAAGTTCTTGTTTCTGAAACAGCGATAAGATTAATATCTGAAGATAATGGTAATAGTTCTTTAAAAATTATGTGAGAAATAATGATAGCTAGTAATGATTTTGATGATTACATATATAATTGTGATAATAAATGATTCAGCTAGTACACTAATACATAATTAAATAATAGAAATTAAAAGAATTAATAATAATAAAAAATTTATTGATATTTGATTTAAATTTAAATTTTATTCTTTATACAAATTTTCTGAATCAAAAAAAATATAAAAATTGGTTATACAATTTAGTGAATCAAAAAAATTCACTTTGCGAATCAAAAGAGATATATTTACATTTTGTGATTACTGTATTATAAACGTTTGAATTAAAAAAAGTATAGCAATCAGTTATACAATTTGATGAATCAAAAAATTCTGCTTTATGAATCAAAAATGATATATTTATATAGTTAATACTTTATGTACTCTAATGTATTATTTGAGTTAACATTAATTTTTTTGATTAAAACTGAAGATACTATCTATATACAGTATTAACAATACTATATATTAAGTTAAAATTAAACTAGTGTTACATTTTTCTATAATTAAATCTTTAATATTTCTCTCAGAAACTTTTTCAAATACTTCTAATAATGTATAATTTTTATCTAATATATTGCATAGAGACAATTGGATACTATTATTCAAAATTAAGGTTAAATATATGAGTATATTAAGCTATTATAAGTAATAACATTATTAAAACTTTATTTGCAATTTTTTTAAAAGTTAAAAAACTTAAAGAGATTATAATAATAGAAAAATAAACTAAAGTATGATAAATACTAGAAAAGGAGAATATTGTAGAAGTATATGATATATCACGTTAGTCATTATATTTAATGAAAGATTCTAACCTATTAGAAATATGCATAATAACATTGAATTTGAAGTTAGAGATCACAAAAGACATAAAAAAATAATTAAAATATAAACAATTAAATATCTTTATCAAAAGTTAGAGGAAAACTATAATATATATATATCAAAATCTATATTGTAAAATTATATGTAAGCTTAATAAAAGAAGTACAAAAACATTATCATTTTGCATAAATATGCTTTGATAACTATTATAAAAAATGAAATGAATGATCATATTGATGTCTAACATCAATTAAAAATATAAAATTATTTACGTCAGTTTATTTACAAAATATTATTTTAATTTTATAAGACAATAAAGCTAAAGTAGTTTAATCTTAAATTTAAAGATAATTTTTAAATATTAATTAAATTTGAATCATTTATTATTAGGTTTTACTAGATATTGCTGTAGTTAGAAAAACATTCAAAGCAATATAATAAATGAATCTGTATCTATTCTTAACTATAATTTTTCAGTAAACTCTAAACATAAATTAATATTATCTATCTATTTATTGATTAATTCTAATAATATAAATAATTTTTTAAATTCTACAATGCAAAACCTCTATAATAGGAACTTTAAAAAAACATTAATAAAATTTAATCTACTAATTGGATTTTAATCAAATAAAAAAAAAATGATTTAAATTTGTAAAAATGAATCATTTTATAAAAAAAGTTTTTTCAATTTTGTAAATTATGTAAGTATTGTGTAACATATATATGAGCCAATCAAAAATTAAATTAAAAATTATATAAACAATTTATTTTATTTTATTTAATTATTTTATTATAAATTACATCAGATATACACTACCTACCCAAAAGTTTAGGACCACCCGTCAAATTAATAAAAATCACGTTTTTTTATCGATCAATATTTTATTATATTACTGAAAAATTATGTACGATAATTTCATTAAATAAATTATAATTTTTTGCTATTAAATAATAT